ACACACACACACACAGAGTTTTTTAGTGGTTTTTGCTGTAATGAACCATGATTAATGGTTTTTATTATCTATTCATTTGTGAGGTTATTTCACAAAACAAAATATTAATAAATGGAGCTTAATTAAAATTAAGAAGGAGCTCTGGTGGAGTAGTGTAAAAGTAATTAGTATTATTTTTGTTGCATATATATTTGACAGGAGCTCTGGTAACACAGTGCCTAAGGCACTTGACTGCTAACCAGAGGGCTGGTGGTTCAAATCCACCAGCCACTCCTCGGAAGGAAGGTTGGACAATCCTACTTCTGTAGTGATACTGCCTTGGAAACCCAAGGAGGGGTCGCTTTGAGTTGGGGCCGACTCGACGGCACATAACAACAACATATATTTGACATATTATATGAGCTTGAGATAGGCATATATATAATATAAAAATTATGATTATATGTAATATATAAACATATAAATTATGTAATTTAAATGTTATAATTATGTTGTTGTTAGGTGCCATCAAGTCAGCTCTGACTCACAGCAACCATATGTACAACAGAATGAAACACTGCCAAGTCCTGTATGAGCCTCACAATCCTTGCTATACCTGGGCCCATCATTGTAGCCAGTGTCAATCCATCTCGTTGAGGGCCTTCTCCTTTTTCATTGACCCTCCACTTTAACAAGCATGATATCCTTCTCCAGGGAATGGTGCCTTCTGACATGAACGAAGTAGGTCTGGCCATTCTCACTTCCAAGGAGCAGTCCAGCTACACTTTCTCGGGACAGATTTGCTAGTTCTTTTGGCAGTCCATGATACTTACATTATTCTTTGCCAACAGCACAACTCAAAAGCATCAACTCTTCTTTGGTCTTCCTTATTCATTGTCAAGCTTTCACATGCATATCAGGTGATTGAAAATACCATGGTTTGGGTCAGGCACACCTTAGTCTTCAAAGAGATATCTTTGCTCTTCAGCACTTTACAGAGGTCTTTTGCAGATTTTCCCAGTGCAATATATTGTCTGATTTTTGACTGCTGCTTCCACTGGTGTTGATTGTGGAACCAAGTAATATGAAATCTTTGACAACTTCAATATTTTCTCCATTTTTCATGATGCTGCTTACTGATCCAGTTGTGAGTATTTTTATTTTCTTTATGTTGAGATGTAATCCATACTGCAAACTGTAGTCTTTAATCTTCATCAGTAAGTGCTTCAAATCATCTTCACTTTCAGCAAGCAAAGTTTTATCATCTGCATATCACAAGTTGTTAATGAGTCTTCCTCCAATGCTGACACCATGCTTTTCTTCATGTCGTCCAGCTTCTCTGATTATTTGCTCAGCATACAGATTGAATATGTATGGAGAAAGGATACAAAGCTGACACACTCCCTTCTTGATTTTAAACCATGAAGTGTCCCCTTGTTCTAGTCGAATGACAGCCTCCTGATCTATGTACAGGTTCCTC